TTGTTGTTGAAATCATATATTTTAAGTCATGGAAGGAAATTTCAAAGAACAGATAAAGTAACGTTTGGGGTCATTTGGAATTTGACAAAATTAGTGGGACATGTATGTCCCGAGGGTTCTCTGGTACACGGGTTGATAGGATGAGATCCCCGTCTTCAGATTCATACAGTCGCACAGGCCCCACCAGATGCAGCACACTAGAGAAGTGAGGTTGTGTCTTCCCAGTAAACCTGAGAGGCCAGGCATGTGAGTGGGCATAATGAAAGGGTTTATTTAGTTAGCAGATTGGTCACTTTCTTGGCTGGTAGAATTTCAAGGAGAGACAATATCCTGGCAGATGGAATTGAGTCAGCAGCCAGTGTGGAAAAACAGTTTTGCAAAACGTCTAAAGATTTGCTAAATCATCTCCTCTTTTTTTGATACAGAAAACAAAACCAGTTCTGAAATTTAATCGGAGAAAAATAACAAACGTCAGGGAAAAAGGCAGAGCAGAAAGATCAACGTCTACGTGCACAGAAATGCACGAACCATGCATATGAATGGATGTGCTTGTATTAGGAAATGTCGAAATATCTGTCTATAAAGCTGTCTGTGCACAGCTAGCCCAAGAGCACACCGACTGCCCTTGTGCCAATTCTAAGTCCCGGCGACCCTGCAGGACAGGGCATAACTGCCCCCGGGGCTCTGGAGGCCGTCAGTCTTTATGGACACACGGTCCCAACTGTCCCTTGAGGAGAGGCTGGTCTGTTCAAACTGGTGACCTTTGGTGAGTGGGCACCAGGACGACACGCATGCATGCACACGCGCACCCACACACACATACACGCACGCACATGCTCAGACACAACTTAGTGAGCTGGCTGAACAGCAGACGCAGCAGTTTGCTGACAGAGGACGTCCGCGTGGACAAGGACGCGAAGTAACACGGTGGCAAGCAGAGTGACAGGGTGACGAGCATTTGAAGGGATGGGATGGCACTGGCGCTGGGTCACCTTGGATGAAGCAACAGAATGCTAAGCGCAAAACCAGCAACAGAGGCCCCTGGAGTCCCTCCCTTCCTCCTTGCCCTCACTCCTCCCAGTCCTCACCTGCCCACCTGTCCCTGCAGGCCCACACCCACTTCCCTCTCTGCAAGGGAAGGTCCCCAGAGCAGAGTCCCCGGAGCCGAACCACTGGGCACCGAGCGTGGCTGCCTGGTGCTGTCAGGCTGGCTGTGTCTCGGGGAACCTGGCACAACCGGGGACACGGTGCTGCGGCCTAGTCCTGTCCCCACAATCCGCGGTGGGCCTCTCCTTTGTGGTGACACTGTGTTTTGAGTGCCTGCCCCCTGCACTGCCCCCAAGGGGATGCTTTGTCCAGCAGTGGGTGGATGGTCAGGCGCATATCGGACACTGCAGGTCAGTTCCTGACACGGGGCAGGGATTGTGGCCAGAGTGCTCTGGCCCCCAGGGCAGAGAGGTGACCAGAGAAGTGTGCGGCAGTGTGTCATGGACAGGCGGCAACCAGCCGGGGCAGAGGCACGAGGGGGGACAGGCTGCTGGGCAAGTGTCCTCGAGGGGGTCACTCCACCGCAGGACAGCCACAGACCGGCCACTCGTAAAGGAGGCAGCAACCTGAAGCTCGGGAAGACAAAAAGTGGCCCCCGCATCAAGGAGTCACTCCTGCCACCTGCCCCCTCCTCACCCGTGTGTTAATTTTGGCCCAGTCGCTCTTGTCCCACCCCTCCCCTCTTCCAGTCAAACTCTCAGACACCCTGCCATCAGGGTAGGCAGAACTAGTCTGGTGAGTTTCTGAGACTAGAGCTCTTTCCACATCTTTCTTCCACTCAGTGGCTGGTGGTTTTGAACTGCTGACCTTGCAGTTGGCAGCCCACGCATCACAGAGCTCCGCCCCTTCAGCCAGAGC